GTATTTTCAGTAACCGGACTATCTAACGAGCCATAAACGGTCTTGACGGTGTCCAATCCGTACCGGGACAAGAGCTGGCTGATGTCGACTATATAGACAGTACACCCGTTGATGAACGTTCACCGACGGTTAACAGAACTCAGTTGTCCCGTTCTGCCTTAGGTCTCTGCTGTGCGGCTGCTGGTAGGTTTCGAAAGTGCCCCCCCTCCCCTAGGCAGAGCGAGACTATTGAGTTCAGTAGCCCTCAGTGGACGTTTATCAACGAGTGTCAATATTCTCAAGTCAAACCGACAGACAACGAGCACGTGGCTTAATGGTCAGAGCGTTAGACTTTGATGAAAAAGATCGCCGGTTCGAGTCTCGTTTAGTACATCACCTGGGGTTGGGTATGACTGGCTGATTACGGCTAATGAGCCAGTCTCCTTTGTCTTTGCCCGCAACGTGATCAGACATTACATCCTCTACGAAAGTTTGGGCAGGTAACTGACTAAGCGCCACTAGGCATTTTAGTAGACAGATGAGGCTCCAGTATATACGGCAACGGCATTAATGAGTGGAAAATCATCAAAGCTAGGAGGGTGAAAGAAAAATAAACTAACCAAGCTTGGTGGTAAAGCCAGGGTCAGCGGATGAACGTTTCAAGTTTCCTCGCCTCGAGTTTGTGTCCGGTGAACTCTTTTCAGTCGACTTACGAGGTGAGTAATTACCGTTAGTATCAGCGTAGAAGGAGGATGTGTAGTAACCACGAAAAGCTGGATTTGAACCTGGTGCGTCTCTGGATTTACGGCCCGAGGTTGCATCGGAGGTCTAGAGGTGGAGAACATTTGGGCGTAAATGTGTATCTACGCATAAAAAAGATCGTATTTAGCGAAGAGCCTATGGTTCAAGTTGCCGTGCAGTCTAATACCTACAGTTCGGGAGAGGAAAGAAACAAATCAAATACAACAGTTACGGAAAATCAGCGCTAACAGACAATAGTATATGAAAACTGCTAGGGTCGGATTTCATGACTTAAAACATGTCCACAGAGTTAGCGCAGCAGGATGTCTGCTGTCCCAACCAGGAAGGTGACAGTAATTAGACGGATAAGTGAACGGCGAGACAGACTGCTCATACACTTAAGCCACTATAATATCCAGCAAATTTCCATTTCATCCAGCCAGGACTAGCTTTGGGTGACGAGGCCAGACCTACAGGTTCACCAGTCATGTATTTTCTAAGGCAACGCATGACATTTCAATTGTACATTTTGACTAGGTGCATTGTGTACCCTACTGCATGGTGGCGCGGGGACTGAGTGACGCGTAGATTCGTTTTAAGTAGTAGCATACTTTCGTTGCATTTACCGCACTCTGTCCCCCTCTTTCCCGTCGGCCCGGTGTCATGACCAAAGCAAGAGGACTGGCTGGTACGACCGGAGCAAC